TGGCACCTAACAACAACAACAATGCTGCATCAGTTTGTTGAATGATTTCAATTTGTATTCCATAAATTCCTGGGTATTGTTCTTTGCTAGTTCCTTAAGTGTATCTTGGGCTTCTTCCTTCAGTACCATTGGCTCTTGATCATAAGCTGTCTCTTGAAATGGTTGAACATCAGTCATTTCTTTTTGGGATAGTGACTCTGTGTATTCCTTCATATTCTTTGATGCATTCTGCATTATTCAATATTTTTCAATATTGTTAGTGGAGGCTTGAATTTTTTCTTCAGTTCTTTCAGCTTGAGAAATACTGAATGGTTCTTACCTTTTGGTTTTCTAACTCCAGACCTTTCTACATTTCATTATAATACTTTCTCTTCTGGAGCTGCCCTTTGACATTCTCTTCAGCCATTTTATATTCTAATTTCTTTCATTTGCTTTACCATCTCTATGTTGGAATGCAAGTTTCAGAGTCTCTTCTGATATCCATTTCGGTCTTTTCCTTTTTTCTTGTCTTCTTAATGACCTTTGGCTTGCTTCTTGCATGATATTCTTGATGTTCTTCCACAAGTCTGCTGGTCTTCGGTCATTAGTATCTAATACATCAAACCTGTTCTTTAGATGATCTCTAAATTCAAGATCATATTTTGGCCCTTATGGTTTTGTTTTCGTTTTCTTTAGCTTCAGCCTTAATTTGCATATGAGCAATTGATGGTCTGTTCCATAGTCTGCCCCTGGCCTTGTTTTGGCTGTTAATGTAGACCTTTTCCACCCTCTCTTTCCATACATGTAGTCAATTTGATTTCTATGTGCTCCATCTGGTGACGTCCATATGTATAGTCATCTTTTATGTTATTTTAAAAAGGTATTTGCAATGAAAAAGGCATTGGTCTTGCAAGATTCTATCATGCATATTTTCCAACTACTGATCTTTGTTTCCAACCTTTGCATCCCAATCACCAATAATTATCAATACATTTTGGTTGTATGTTTGATCAATTTCAGACTGAAGAAGTTGGTAAAACTCTTCAATTTCAACATCACTGGCTTAAGTGGTTGGTGGGTAAATTTGAATAATAGTGGCATTAATTGGTCTTCCTTGTAGGCATATGGATATTATCCTATCACAGACAACATTATACTTCAAGACAGATCTTTAAATGTTGTTTTTGATGATGAGATGTCTCTGGATGGATTCAAACCTCCAAATTTCCAGTTAGCAGCTGAGTGAATTAACCATTTGTACTATCCAGGTACTCTACCCACTTAGTAAAGCTGTATAATCTAGATTTAAAAAAAAAAAAAAAAACCTGATAGGCAATTACAATAAAGAAAGAAAGGGAAAAAACAAAATACAATCTTTATCATAAACAAAGTATTACCAAACAAGTCAGTAACATATATATTTTTTGAATGATTGATTTTATTGCCACAAAGTTGGGTTTATTTCAGAGCTGAAAAGTTGACTTAACATTGTAAAATCAATAGATGCAGAAAAAAATTAATAACATTTGATTCATAATATAAAGGTCTTGTCAAACAAGAAGTAGAAGTAGATTTCCTTCATCTGCTCAAAGGTATCTTAATAACAAACAAACAAAAACCACAAAATATCTTCTTGAAATACCCTACATGATAGTAGAGTATTAAGCTTTTCTATTGTTGTTGTTGTTAAGTGCATCAAGTTGATGGCTACTCGTAGTGACCCTTTATAGGGTTTCTGAGAGTGGCTGCTAGATTTGAAACACTGACCTTGAGATTAGCAGTCTAGAACTTTTTCTACAGTGTCAAGTTGTTCCATAGGAATGGAAAATAATTTCACCATGACTTCATTTCAGCATAGTACTTGAAGCTATATCCTGTGGAATAAGAGATGAAAAAATAAATAAAAAGTACAGGCTTTAAAAAAATTAACTAAATGCTTATTTTTCACAGATTGCATGATTGCATTCCTAGAAAACTCCAAAATAATCAACCTGAAAATTATTTGAGCTAATAAGATATCAACAATTCTTGGTACAAAGTCAATATACAGAAACAAACAAAAACTTGATTATTTTTTATTGGCACTAAGCAACTTATAAGGAGCTCTGGTAGCGTAGTGGTTACGAATCGGGCT